ATGCAATGACGGTGACCAGACTCTCCCGTCAACTTACCGCCCTCCGGAAAGCAAGCAAAGAGCCCCAAAATTATTTTTTTTCATAAGAAACCGTTCAAATTTGGGTTTCTTAATCTCACCTGTAGTTGCCAACAAGAGTAACCACAGGTGAACAGACTCCACGCAGCATAGATGATCCAACAAGAGTGATTTGATTTACCGCAACCAAGAGCCCCAAAAAATAAAATTTCCCCAGCGAAATCCACCAGATGTCGGGTTCTCGATCTCCCCGATGGTGAACAGACTCCACGCAACACCGCTGATCGCCAGTAATGGCCAAGAGGGGGGGGGGAAAGCGAGGAGAGGATAGCGCCAAGCCAGCAACCAAATACTTATCCTTGAAGACGATGTCAGCCACAGATGGGCGTGATTCCTCGGCAGACGTCGCCGGCGGGCGCTCCATGTTCATCGAGAGAGACGGGTGCGGCGGTGTTAGTGGGATCAGGTAGCATCTCATAGCACACCGCCTCGACGGAGCCATCCACCGATATGCCGCCATTGGTTGACAAAGGAGGGGACGGACGGTAAGTGGTTTTGGGGGCGGGGGGGGGATGGGGTTCAATAATTAGATTCATTAATTAAGATTATTATTTTTGTCTAAAAAAAATTACAGAATGATACTGATTCAATCGCATCAAACCATCAGCTGACAACTTTGATCATTTAGTTACATCGGCTTATTTATTTGAGGCAATTAACATTTCGATGACCGAAATCCCTTCTTCTTCTCCTCCTCCTCCCATAACCTTGGAAATCTGAACAAGTTTATCCATCTGAGATTCTAAGATCAAAAATTGTCATGTAAGCCATATGTAACCCAAAACAACCATCCATATTTCTCTCCATCTCTCTGAATCAGATCCACCTCCAAACTTCCCCGCCTCCTCCTCAATCGAAGCGATGCAGCGTATACATACATACTTAATCGCGTCCTCTTCTTCCGAGTTGTCATCTCCGTTGATTACTTCCCATATTTAAAGTCGTCATCCATCCACCTCCTCTTATCTCTTTCCTAGTGACTCCGCCACCATGAGCCCGTCCGTACGAGAGATCAACGGCCCCCGCTCCGCCCCTCTCAAGATCCACAAGGACTCCCACCTCATCCACAAGTCTCCCTCGTCCTCCGCGGCCACCGGCGCCCGTTGCCAGCGCAACCATCCCGTCGTCATCTACACTCATTCGCCCAAGGTCATCCACACGCAGGCCAGCGACTTCATGGCGCTCGTCCAGAAGCTCACCGGTCGATCCCAGTCCCCCGAGGACGACAACGGAACCAATGGCTCCGCTCCACCGCCGGACGTTTCACGTGAAGATGACGCCGCCGTGTCCAGTGACTCATCTTCCCGGTTCATAAGCTCCTCGTTGTCATCTGCCACGACGATGTCTTGGGCGGGGTTCGACACTGTGCCACCACCGAACCTGTTGTCGGCGGAGACACCGATGCTGTTCACGCCCGGCTTCCCGAGCGCATTCTTTGGATGCATGGATGAAAGTGGGGCAGTGTCGCCTTCTGTCGTCGAAGCGATGAGCATTGACAGCTTTGGAGGGAGACGGCGTCCCCGAGAGTGAGTGAGCAATCAATAATTCTTCGTTTCTTTTCGTCCGCCGATGTTAATAAAAATGGGCTCATATGATGATCCCTTCTTGGTTACCACCCTTTGGCACGAGGACACGAGTGTTCCAATTTGGTCGCCCGCCGTTGATCTCCATCCGTTGGATTACCCCGTGGTTGTTGATGAAACCGATTACTTCTGCACCAGAACAGTAACGGAGTCTTCCAATTTGGTCGCCCGCCGTTGATCTCCATCCGTTGGATTACCCCGTGGTTGTTGATGAAACCGATTACTTCTGCACCAGAACAGTAACGGGGTATATGTAGATGATATCCAAGTCGGATCACCGTGTCACTTCTCTTAATTATGTCCTGCACAATTATGATCCGCAAAATATTTCATAATTATATCATGCACAATTATGACACCCGAAACATTCTCGTGACAATGGCAGCGAACACCACCGCCCACTACTACTACTACATGGTCAAAACATAATGCACATGCCACGGTGCTGTTAACTTTTAGGGCAAATTCAACCCATACTTGTGCATCTAATCCTCAAGAAAAAAAACAAAGCAAAAACAAAACAGCAGAGCAGATTTTTAAGAAGCCCTGTATACTCACGTGTGCCATTTCACCAAGATCAATAAGATCAATACAGCAAATGCAAGTACACTGAAGACAATTGCTTTTACATTAATAACATTTCATTTCTTGAACAGTTGACATTTTCTGAATGACTGGGCAATGTCATCTTATTTACAACCGCAGTGAAGAAATCTAAGTTCATGCAACTATGTGTACAAGATCACCTCTTCTTCTTATCTTCCTTGTCTCTTTCAAGAACAACTGGAGCTGCAGGTATGCTGAACCACCACTCTCTCAATCTTCTGGTGCATTTCTCTGTGTTCACCCTTCTCGGTGGTGAATTCCTTGTAAATATTTCCAGAAATAGCATCAAGAGAAGCAGTTTACTAGGTAGAAAAGCTATCGCCAAGGCCATCAAAACCAGCACCAGTATAATTCTATCTGTCGCCTGTTGACAACAATTGAATGGTTCAACAAGTTTGACATTCAAATGCATGGCTACATTGTAAACTGCTAACAACATAGATTAGAAACAAAAAAGACAAGCAAACATTAGGAGCTTATAAGCAAATTCACATGCTAAATCAACATGTTGCAAACCATCTTCTGTAAAATGTCACTAAATCAACATTAGGAGCCTAGAGCTGATCCAGAATTATGTAAACCATCTTCAGTACCATGTCCAACTTCTCTTGATTAATGGCAACATATGATCATCCATGTTTCTTACTTTCCATCCATTTGGCATTTCACAAGTGGTAAACACACAATCAAGTCAAATTGTGCCGATATAAACTTTTTATAGTAAGACACAAATGTCTAGTCTCATAATAAAACTCAAACAAATGATGAATCAGCCATATAAAAAAATAATTTTGATTACATAGTTGGAGTGTATCAATTGGCAGTAGTTAATAAAATAATAATAATAAACAAAAAAATTAATCAGGTTATGATACTTAATGCACTTTAGTGACCTGACAACATACGCTTGGATCCGTTTGATTATACATTGTTGATCTCACAACACATGAAGTAACTTAAAATAACTGCACTTCACGCCACATATCTTATAGATGAATATGAAGTGTGTTAACACAAACCAACAAGAATATATGGGACAGCAACAAAGGAGAAAAATAAAACCTGGGAAGAAACAGCCAGTAATAAAGCTCGTATTTTCAAGAGAACAATATTTCCATCCTGAACTAACTCTTCAACTTTAGAGATAGCACTCTGAACTGCCAAGATCTGCTCCATTGTGTTCATAACTGGAGGAACCTTCACCTTGATCTGATTTATTGGCCTTCCTTGATTAGTAAATCGAGTAAGCAGCATGAAGATGGCAACAAAGAGAAGCACCAGAACGAGGACATAACCAAGCCATCCCCTGCACAAGTTTAGAATAAAACATAAAAACCCATCATCAATTCTTTAAGAAGAAAAAAATCAGAAAGATAAAAAAGAGAGTATACTATTAATCTGATTGAGATGTACTTTCAGTTTCGACAATCAAGGATTTTCATGAACTTTTGCAGTAAATGTTATTAAAGGAGACCTAAACAACGGAGGGCACAGAAATGACAGATATGCATAGAGAACCAGAAAAACAATGCAAAGTGGATTTAATCCTAGTGTCTCCCTATCCAAAGTGCCAGGTTTGCGGTTATCGAGCCACAAGAAGAGTAAATTTTCTTGAGACATGAGGATGGTATCAAACCAGCAGGAGAACTTAGGAAGGTTCATTAAAAGGCTCCGGAATAGCTACAAGAGCATAATTCACCAGCCATTTTACAGAATAGTAAATACGCACTTAAAGTTTTGTGAGATTTTTAAATAGTATTTCTTGCTGAAATAAACAACCCACCATCACATAAAAATAACTGAGCAATTGGTGATCTAGAAACCGTCTATGGATGAGACTTGGACAAGGCTCATATGAGAAATCCTGCAGAAGCTTGCTTCACTCAAAAGCTTAATTTGCACAGATCGCCGAGTCAAACCAGCTGATATAACATAGAACAAGACTCAAATCTATTCAAGTGCAAGCCTATCCTATGTAGCCAACAAGAGAGCTAGAATCTTATCACTGAATTGAAATTTGCTTCTGCATAGCTTTAATTAGATTAAGGCATAAGCAAAAAAATACAAGTTTATGGCTCCGTCTGGTTAAAGAATAAACACTTGGGTATTTACTTACCCCATAACAAAGTCTCAAATGCAGTTCCTCCTCTGGACTCACTTGGTCTTAATAGGAATATTTTTCTTTTTTCTTTAATTGATATCTTATATTTTGTATAATGATTTATAATATAATTAATTTGTTTATGCTTTTTGACATAATTTGTGAATCTACAAATCTTCTTTATTTCAATCATCAAGTATGTTGCTTAGTTTTCTTTTCCATATTTCCTCTTCTTAAATAATTCTTCATTGTTTAGTTTTAGTGAATGTTGATCAAGGACAGCAGTACCGGATGACATGGGATGCCAGTTGACCTAGCCACCTGCACTTGAAACAGCGTCAAACTAGTCGTATACTAGATGATTGGTGGAATTTGATTTGGATAAAAGACAAATTGAAACTTGAGGTCTGATGGAATTTGATTTGGATAAAAGACAAAAAAACATGCTTTTTCTACCATGTTAAATGGCTAATTCGGGGCTCATTCATGCATTTGTATTGATTTATGACATAATTAATAAGAATTTATATTTTCGACACATATAGCTTAGAGTTTCTACTGATTTATAGTTTAGACATTACTTTGTTCTTATTTAATTTAAATTTATAAACCTATAAAACAGAGAAAAAAAACCTGAAATAATTTTTTTTTTGTCTGATTTTTCCAGTCATTTTCTTAAAATTCTGGTATGTTGGTACATAGGGTACCAGCCATACACACCGGTCCAACCATGAATTTAGATAGCATTCATATACCAAAACAACATTTTCATTGTTGGAACTTCTTACAAATTATCTATCAGAAAGTTTCTTCACATCAATTTCATATTGATGAATTTCATTTTGTTCCTTGATTATTCAGTCAACCAGGTTACAGGCTTCTTCAATAAAATGTCTCCATTATATTAAAAAAATGTTCTAATTATCACTATTGAACAGGTTCTGAATTCGAAAATGCTCATTTATGTGATGCACTAACCATGTATGTCTTTCTTGTTTTTCCTCGTGTCTTTTTCCTCAAGAGAGTTATGTTTTAGAAAATAGGTATTCTATTTTGCAACTATTCTTGGACAAATTTGAATAGAATATTTATCACTGCCTGAGAGCAATAGCGTGATGAACATTTTCCATGTATACTTCAAGAATCAAGAGACAGTATGTAATTTGTTCCATAAATCTGCAGGAAGCTTAATTTTCTAAAAATAAGAAATTAATTATCTTAATCCAAAAGTTTAAACATATAATAATGACCCTGAATCTGCAGTACAACTTCTTACCGTCTAAAATATTTAACAATATTCCAGTACAAGAAATATAAATAAAAACAAACCTGAAAATGATGAAACAAGATAAAGAACTGAATACGAGGGACTTAATGGGTTCATTCCAAGAAGCCATAGCAACAAAGAAATTTCCCAGTTGAATCATCGGTTGAAGCAGCTCCTGCAAGATTAATTCAATCAACAAGAATTAAATCAGATTGTATCTTTCTGCAAACAGAAATCCAGAGTATCCATAAATTCTACGGTCAATTGATGACACAAACTGCAATATCCATTCGCATACTGTAGAACTAATCATCCAAAGTGTATGTATATTCACAGGGCAAATGGATCTTGCTCCAATTGTTAATAAATAAAGAAACATTAATCATTTTCTAAGCAGAATCAACTAAGTAAGCTCTGGAGATGTGAAGTCCCGTCAGAGTTTCAATGGGTAGGAGATAGCAGTAAGTGTAGAATTGGAATCTAACATAAAAAGAGTCATCAGGTATTAGTCAAATGCTTACAGATCCAAGCTGTGATTGGCTCGAGAGAATGAAAAGGCAGCAGAGAATAGAAGCAATTAATCATTTCCAAAGTCACACCCTGGATTCAACAGGAGCAAATATGCTGAGACACACTGTGCCTTGGAAGGAGAAAGAAACTAAAGCAGAATGTTGTCTTAAGAAGGCATCTAGTTAAGGAACAAGAAGGTTTGAGAAAAGAGTTCAAAAGGAAAAGGAAACCAAGAATAAGAGGGATAGCTAGTGACCAATAAATCTAGAAATTCTCCTGTCATTCACCATTCTTGAAACCTCAATCTCTATATATCTTTCATTTACACAATACTTATAATTCAAACTGTCTGACTTGAAACTTCACCTCACTGACAAATTCCTGAAATCTATTATTTATGATATTATGTTGATTCATCTTTCAGTTAATTAGCATTTGCTGATATCAAATTGAATTGCCTTTGCATTATGGTTAACTGACAGCTATTCAGAACTCCAGTCTCATTAAACTGTGAGCAGTGTCAACTACAGCATATCACACATGGCTTAACTTCCAATACAATCAAGGACACTATTCAACATATTCAATTCTAAAGCAAAAGAAGTGTGATATTAAGATCTTAAAAGCACAAAAGTAGAAGTAAAAACAACTACAAGATCATTCCATGATTGTTTCACGTCATTAATTTTATCGATAAAGATAAATGTAATGCAAGCACAATACCTTCATCACTACCAAATTGGTATCGAGACCATCTACTTTAACTCCATCAACTGTAGCTTGTGCTTGCTCTACCTGTTTATAGCTATTCCTGGACTCATCGACAGCCCTTTCTAATGAAGTCATTTCCCCTACAACTATCTCACCAACAAGAAGCTTGTCATCTGCTGAGACTTGTGATACAAGACCCAGGTTTGACAAAATACCCAGAGCAGATATAGAGTACATTCCACCTCCTGAACTAAATTGGTTGGTCCGATCCAACTTCCTAGAGGCTATCATATTGGCTAGTGTTTCCAGTATTACGTCACCTCCAGGAAGCTGATCACAGAGATTAAACATCAGAAGGGTTTCATATTTCACAGGCACCGAAGAAACTAACTCTTGAATAGCTTGCAACCGTAGAATGCCCAGTACAGCTTTTGAGAGTGTTTCTTCTTTCTCAACACCTTCTATCTCAAATTTCTGAATAAATCTATGGGCATAAAGAATTTCTCGCATTATAGCTAGCCAATAATCCCGACGAGAATGACCTGTAAGCTCGGGAAACTCCATGATTACTGGTTCTGATCTACAAAAAGATATGGGAGGCCGTATTAATCGACAGGTCCATGGTTAATAATATCAGTTATGCTCCTAAATCCACTAAAGCCCCAGAACTAATTAAAAAAAATAAAAACATCAAGTTATTCACTATAAATTTTATACAGTAGATTGGTACATGGACTCACTTACAGTGATATTGATTTGTACAGGACAGCCTTGTCAAAAAGACGTGAACCCCATGGCCCAGTCAACTCAGGCTTGATAATCTGTTTTAGATCATCTGCAAGCTCATATACCTTTGGCTTATCAGAGGTTACCAGTCGTAGTGCTTCAAAGTAGAGAGCATGGTCTGTCAATATTAATCTTCCTGCGGTTGACAAGTTAAAGAAATCAAGTAGATGTTCAGAACCATTCAAATATGAACTTTCAGAATCTGAGGATGTGGTGATCTAAAACCATCTACTAAATTACGAATCACTTGTATGGCCTATACTTATCAAATTGCCTAAAACAAAGTGAACCATAGAAGAAGCACACCAGGCCATGTAGAAAGTCCTATGTGTTCAAGTACTGGTTGTGTGGTCAATGTTCCATCCACTTCAAGGATCCTTTCTCCTCTATGGAGACGAAGACCCGATAGAAGAGATGACTCAGACTGAGTTTTCATCTTCTTTATTGCTCTGTAGAGTAACAAAAGGAAAACATTTAGAGAAGATACTGCTATTTTCAGTTTCTGGCACACTATAAGATGACTGAAAAAGTAAAAGGAGATGCCATACCACGTGTATACCAAAATGAACATCATCCAACCATGTAACAGAAAACACTTAAAAGTAAGCTGCTGTCCCATTTATTCAAACGTGGGCATTGCAGCATTATCTTTGGAATGATATATTGATTTGCAAAGTAATATAATTATATAGAGCTAACAAAATTCTATAACAGAAGGTATAAACAAGAGTCATTTGCCTCATGTACAACATCATCTCAACAGTTTCATGCTCTTAGGAATCCAAGATGCTACCGCATCTTCCACGTCAATAAGAAGCAGCACATCATATTTCCTTGTTGGTCCAAAATAATTCACCTATTAACTTGATCCAAAAGTATCAATAAATAGGAACAGCCTATTGATGCACTGCATGCTCCGCAAGATGATGCATCATTCAACCAGAAACACAATCTAAACATATATGATCCTAAAGTGGGTAACACCACTAAAAAGCCTAATAGTCTCTTCTTTTCCGGATCATGATTCTTTGAAAAACCACCACAATATCAAGTATTATATCATCACAGATGGGTGCCACTGGCCGAGGGCTGTGACATATGTGTGTCAATCATTTAATGATCATGAAGCACCATGACAATGTGGGCACACTATGAGCAGATGCACAGTGACAAGACTAGATGAAAGCAACGTATGATGACTAAACACTTCCACAAAATCAATGAATTCTAATTTTAGTAATTTTTTTTTTCTTCATAAAGAAATACACTCCATGTTAGTATACATAGTATGAGCAAGGGTGCCACCCTTGCCCTTTTTTGCCCTGGAGGGAGACAAAAGAATGTATGACTTGTAGACTACATGGGCATAGTCTTGATAACAATTAAATTGTGACCAAAGCATGAAGGGCAAAGTGGAGTTGAATAGAAATTTATCAATCATAGATACATTGAAGAAGATGGGCTACATTCAATTTTGAGTAAAGATTTTCCAATTATTAGCAGCAGCTTTCTGGTGTGGATTACAATCATAAATCACTAATAAATAAATACTCTAAAGTATTAACCAGGTTGCTGTTGGCCGTACCTGTCTAATGCAGCTAGGTACTTCTCGTAGATAGCAAAAGTAAGTCGACCGCCAGTCGAATTGGTAAGCTTATCAAAGAGATTGAAGCAAGTAATTACGTCTGCGATGGTGGGGATGGCAGGTGCTATTCGAGAAAAAGCCTCCACACCTGCAGTTCTCTCCTTATCCACCATCTGTAAAGCTAAACACTGATCAACTCACAATGACTAAGGAAACCTGTTGTACAGCTTACACTACACTAATTGTTCACACCAGTATTTACGGGCATAAATGGCAAAACATGGATGGGAAAAAGATGAATGGCAGATAGAGACCTTATGTATAGGCTGGTCTGCAGCAGCAGGAGCCTCCCAAGCAAACATCATATCAAACGTCAATCGGCGAAAGGCTTTATCCGAGAGGTGGCTAGCAACTTGAGTAGAAAGTGCAAGGGTTCTAAAACAACAGTACTCCAAGAAATTCCTTGCATAACTTGAGGAATGCTTGATAGCATCAGATGCTTCCGAATCAAAATTCCGTTGAAGTTCATCCATAGTAACATCAAGAATTCTGCAGAAAGACAGAACCCCGAGTACCATCAAGAATTCCGCAAGAAGATGAAACCCTAAACATATAAACATACATATAACAGCATTCGTGATGATAATCCAACTGGTACAATAGTTCTTGCACCACATCATACATTTCACTAGGAATTATATCAAGAAGCCAAAGTATAACCACTAAACAAACACATACATAACCGCTCAACAAACACATCCATTCAAAGATAAGGAGCAATACTAAACTATGAATCGTTGTTTTACTCTGCTAAAAGAGAAGATATCTTTGTATTCTCTTTCTCGAACTACATTCAGGATTGTTTCTTCTTCTTTATTGGCACTGAGATCAAATTCAAGCTGGTGCGGCTGAATTAAGGAAAGGGGTGATGAAGAGACGAACATACTGGGAACAGCGGCCGACGATGACATTAGCCACGGAGGAGAGGTCCGATATCCACTTCCTGCGTCCGGAAGGCGACCGGCCCATCTCCTCGTACTCGTCCTCGAAGGAGGCACGGCGGCTGAGCGCCCACTTGAAAGACTTCTCTCGCACGAGCCCCTCGATTAGGTCGCGTGTCTTGCTCATCATCGCCATCTCCCCTTGCCCTCCTCCTCCTCCTCCTCCTCCTCGAAAGATCCGAGATCCCTCCTACGTCGAATACCAAATTCGTTCTAAGGGTTGCGATTTCTGCTTCTTGAACCCCATGTCCCCTCGGAGCGCTACGTTCGGATGCGTGGGGCGAACAATTGGGGGATTCCGCTTCTTGAACTCTCAAGAGAAGAGGGAGCAAAGCAAAGAATGCGATGTGAAGGGTAAAGAGGTGGATGCGACGCAAACGTGGGGGCGAAGGGAGTAAGTACATGGGCCTACCGAGTCGGTTCTCCGTTGTTACTCGCGAGGCGTCGGATCAGTGAGGCTCTGGGGCCTAGGATCAATCGACTGCCTCGGCAAGCGCCTCGTTTAACCATCGGTGCTCTTTTACCCGCGTTTGGCTGTCGGAGAAGGGAGCCAGCGGGGCCCAGGACGACTCCGCTGCCTGACCAATCCCCTTGCTTACCCTCTGCATGCGGGTACGAGTGGGACAATATTACTTTTCCAAGAACATGACGAGCCTGTAACCGTCACCTCCTTTTTGTCTCGATTTGCTTTACAGTCGGGGTTTTGTCGATGAGAGCCTCGTGAAATCAATCGTTGACCATCTCCGCGTCTTCATTCATGTACTAAATGCCGCTGATTATTCCGTAGGAAGGAAGGATGCATGTTTTCGCCCACCACCGCCACCGCCACCTCCACCGCTCTCGTGACGTCCTCATGGGCCGGGCTCATTGGGGGTCATGAGTTCAACGATCCGTGACTGACAGCAACATGCAACCCGCTTCATTCGATATCTAAACGGCATGCACGATAACTTGGTAATAATAATATGGGTATCATACTTGCGGTGTAATCTGAGGTGCCACCTGATCTTACAGGTATCGTCTGTTTCATGTCGAAGCTAAAGAACGGAAGAGAGAGACTACTACATGCATATACATGGCATCCAGTGAACATCCATCCTGCTAATCATGCTGTTTCTGAAATCCACCTGCGTCTCATATTTAACGATCTGGTCTTTACTTACAACTAACTATTCCTCAGTAGAGAGAGAGAGGGTAATGACGAGAGAGGGCAAATGAATGCAGGTAGGTGGTCAGGGAAAGTTCCTTTCCTGTTGTTACCTGTTAGGAAACACAAAGAAGCACGTATTATTATTATTAGGTTTGCTCTCAAGTTACCTATTAGGTTCTCAATATTAAATCTGGAAGCCTAATGCTTCATCTCTCTTGTTTTCTTCTCTTTCGCTTAATAATAATAATAATAAACTGTAAAGTGCGGATAACACATGTTAGAATGCATCAGGATGAGACTTATGACTCGAGACCGGAACTCATGTGCTCTAAATTGTGGCCAACTAAAGGATGTTGAGTTCACCTCAGCTAGATAATATTTATCATGGGCATTGGTCAAACAAAGAATCATCTCTTGCATCCTGTGCAGCTCTCGGATGCTCTCGCTCATTCGCTGTCATGTTGACAGCATAGGCTATTAGAATTCTTTGGCAGCGATGCTTTCTGGGGATTGGAAAACCGACAAAAACAAAAAAACTAGAGGCTCTGCTCCTTTCCTATCCCACGAACTGGGACTATTTCCCCATGATATGCCACTGTGTAGAATTGTTTGGGCAGCACAAAAACAAGATGAAAGGATCGTTTAATTTATTATGCTCACCCGCGATGTCAAAACGCTCTCGGTGTCGAGGCACTAGTCATAAACGAAGCTTGCAGCCGAAAGTTTAATCGAAAGAAACTGTAAAAAAAAAAATTATTCAAGGTTTCAGAAAATGAAACAGGAAGCAGAGTGAAAACTCGGTTCTTTTAGCGTAGGAACAGATCTTACCTCGACTTGGTTCTGCAGTGACTGAACATAGTTAATGATCTCATCGAGCATTCCCGCCATGCCCATTGTCTAAAAGAATACCTCAGAAATCATCATGGCTGCGAAGCAGGAGAAATCTAATGACAAAGGCTACTACTACTAACTACCTTGTAACAGCCGGGAACAAGGGTCTTGTAAACATCGCATTCTTTCATTAATCTTCTCTCTTCTCTCTTCTCACCTGAAACCATTCACAAAACCATATAAGCAACAAAGATATTCAATCAAAATGGAGTATAGATCAAGGAAATAGATTTTACTTCCTCACCATAATGATGGTTCTCCACAACAGAATTAAGAGCCCATTATTCTGCATCCAGCAGCTTTAGCCACAGTGCGGATATGATGATCCATTTTTCCGTCACTGTCACTGCAAAAAAGAATAGAATCCTACTGTTTAACTTAATGAGTAAACTGCGTTTATCGACACATAATCTACCAATCCATAACACAGTACAAGGATTGTTCCAATCAAGTAATCTTAGTTGCAAGCCGACTCACAAATAAAAGAACTATATCAAACATTTGCTCTCTAGATCTAGGACGCCTCTGCCGGTTTAAATCTAGCCATCCATCTCCCCATAAAGTTAACAAAAATTTGATCCAGGCGATGAATAATAACGTTTAATGTTTCATTTAGGCCAGAAAATTTAAGGATGGCCGATGGGCACCATACAAGCTCTTATTATTCAAACACAATGACTCCACTCAGTTTGAGATCAACAAAGCAGAGACTATTTTTACATCCTTCACAATCTTCTTAATACGGTCTCAATAAGGATTCTTAGTTGTTGAATTTGATACTAATGCAAAAAGGCTCTCTGTTATAACTGAATATCACCATCATTTCTATAATTTTCAGGCATCGAACTGATAGGTCAACGTCATATCCCAACCAATAGGATTGACAGGTTCGTAGGACTTGCAAGCACCTGTTCTAGTCATGCCTGAGCATTGAATGGCACATGAATTTGGACTGTAAGCTTCATCTGAATAGCTCCACATTAGGCACTTCTCAGTTTATAAACATATAAACTCAATCTGCTAATTTTAAAACTCATAAGGAAAAAATGTAGGCCAGATTTACTCTCAGAATACTAGAGTTAGAAAGCATGCATCATTAAATGGTTTTGAAATGAAAAAGATATGGTTAAGGCACATTAAAAGAAAGACTTACTGGCAATTTGATGACAGTCGACCACTGAGTTTTAACAACTCTCGGCCACAAAACATATGCTTAAAGAAGGCCAGATAATTACAGAAACCAAACGAGTTGAAAGCAAAATCATACTGAAAATGGGCACCTTGTTTTAAAGACTAAACCTAACTTGAGAAAATAAGTTGCCTTAAATTCCAGCTCATTAAGTTTCACATGATCAATTGAACTGAATGGGAAACAAGCCAAGATTAGTCAATTCTAAGGAAATGAAAAAACAAAATTCACAAGGACCTCATAAGGCATCCTTATACAAAACTACATCACAAAGAAATGAATAATATATATATATATATATATATATATATATATATATATATATATATGATACGATATGATA